CGGTATTAGGTATTAAGGAGAATTTACGCGACGACTTAATACGACGTCGTGTCGTTAATCGAACGTGTGCTCGTACGTTCACCAGCGCGGAATTGTGTTCGTTTGTTGACGTACCAAAATGGTTTGAAAGTGATTAAAAATTTGCTATTTATCAAAATTCATCAGAATAAATGAATGTAGCTAACACTTAAATATGAAAGAGCTTCTCAGAGGCTACAAAATGATATATAACACTTGCATATAAAGTAATTTTAATGACTTCAAAAAATTACACAAACTGAAACAACGTGCTAAACGCACGAACTTTTGCCTCGCAATAATATTTATGAACGAGGGTGCGTATGTTTGTTGTTTCCATCGCTGCTAATGTCCCTTTAGATGGTTCGCAAAGGATGTACGAGTCGTGGAGGGTACTTCTTTCGGCGTTGAAAAAGCACGCAAGATATAGAACGCGATTATGGCGGCATACCCTTCTTCATTATTTGGTTACGCCGCGTAAACGTGGGCCATGCGATAGTATCCGTGGAACTGGAAGGAAGTGAAAGCCTAAAATAACTTGGCGACATTCCTCGATGCGGGGGAGGACGACCATCCCTCCAGTTCCTCCATGCAACATCGCTCCTCGGCTAGATCTTCTCTCGCTCCCTCTTCCTTCCTATTCTCACCTTTTCCCCACAATCTCCTTCATCTACCCCCGGAGCGCGGATCTCTCTAAAATATTCACCCACCTAACGTTAAAACGCGATATCCGAAGGCCGGAATTCCTCGCCCGTGGACCGAGAACCGAGAATTCTGGAGGCATAACGGCGTTCCAGGGGTGTAAGGGTCTACGTTTCGGTATATATCTAAATTAATTTCTCCCCTGTCCCGTTAAGTCTTCTCTCGATCGTATTTTTGACATTCTTTAATTTCCACGATATGCGATATCGTCTGCCGACGATATTGAATTCCAGTTCTTAGGGGACATTGCGATCGGAGAGTGTTTTACGAAACATTGGGCCCGAACCGATGAAATCGACGGACACGAATGAAGTGATATGAGCCGATCACACACGGGCGCGATTGATCAGTTTCAAACCACTCTGAAACTAAGATTGCATGCGACCGTGGATCTAGGTAAAACAAAGATAGTGGAGTAGATAAAACAAAGAGCGCAAACGGTTTGCAACGCTAATTTCAAATCGGTTGCGCCCGTGTGCGTTCGGTCTTAAGATTCAGACTATACGACACGTTCCGGCAACGACACGTACCGGCACCGACACGACAAAACATTAAAACACGCGTTTTAATGGAACTATTCACACTTAACAGACACCGACCTGAACTATTCACACTATTCTCGTTGACGGAACGTTCAGGTCGGTGTCTGTTAAGTGTGAATAGTTCCATTAAAACGCGTGTTTTAATATTTTGTCGTATCGCGTTGCCGGAACGTAACGGTCAGTGTCGTATAGTCTGAATCGACCTTTAGAGAAACTCCTGCGAGCTAGTAGATTTAACCCACGGCTATCAGACAAACGTAAAGGGTTTCGCTTTGGACGCCAAGATTTAATAGAGATGTGTAATCTAGGTTATTATTTCGACAATAAAAAGCGGTATTAAATTTGTTGTTTTACAAAAAAAATTTACGATCTTCTTTTGCAATAATTCGTGACACAAAAGGCTATAAACTTATTTAAGGACGTTTTTATTTGTAACGGAACTAAACAGAACTCTCTTTTGAAAGAAATTTAAGAAAAATAAAAAATGAGAGATACAACTCGCGAACACGGTCTCCGCACATGTCCGGCGCCGAAAAAAGTTTTCCGAGCACAACGTTCGCAGCTGCTATAATTATAGTTTGTCGAGCACAGCACGCGCTTGGTAGGGAAGTCACCCGCGCCGAAACGATTACGGATTTCCGCAATTTATTTCTACATTTTTTTGTTTACGTGTTCCATTATTTGCACAAAAATGTTTTCATAATACGAGAAATGCTGTTCACGTGTTTTTACGATCAAAGGCAAACGATGTCCAGGTAACTAGCGCGACAGTCGTTAGTTTGAAAAGTTTGACGTGGACAAATGTTGATTGACCTTCCCTGCCACATCTAACAATATACTTCTCTCGGCATGCATATTTTAAACTTTCCAGCGTTGTGGATGCTTATGAATGATCACTCGATCGATGCATTGCGTATGGTACACGCCTAAGTATCCTCGGTATTGATTTGGACGTTAATAATTAGACGTTATTTAATCAATTACGATTTAATAAATCAATCGAATGTATTCAACGTATGCATTATGTATATTTTTTGTTCGTTTCTCATATCAGTAATAAAAAATCATCAGTTTTGAATATTTCAAAGCAGCGTTGAATCATTGTAACATTCACATAACCTTCTTCGAAAGTTGACTTTTTGCTTTTAGACATTTTCACCACCATCTTCACACAAGTTTCTCAGGTGTATTCACAATTTTATGAAAGTTTAACAGTTTAATCAGAATCATTTGTGATTATGTTCCTTATTATTTCACTGATTATAAAAATTTCACTCATAAAAATGGCAAAAATAATTGTAGCTAGCGTAAAGTTAACACTACGGAAGACGTAGACCGAAATAATCCATAAAGAATCACATCTATTCCGAGGTTATCTATTAGTTACTGATACGGTGAACTCTCGAGATACATCAGTTACTCTATAGCAACTGTGGTCACACAAGAAACTAACTATTTACTTCTAAATTAAGAAGCTTGGCGTCTTTGAAACTATTATTTGCTAGATAAATGAATCTCGAAATATTGCTTACACAATTTATTTATCCTCGACATAAATGTTATCATGAAATTGTATAATGGAAGTACATTTAATCTCAACTGGAATATGTTATTGGTATAGATTTATGTTCGAAAATTTAGTAAAGTTTCTTTTATATCGTATATTCTATGCACAAAGCTATTTAAAATTTGATTTTATCACAAGCATTAAATAAAATTGAACGAAGACGAATTATTGTTCTGTTATGTGAAAATTCTCTTATCTAAACACTTCGTAATCGGTTTACATAACAGAGGTTTTACTGTACCACTCTTCCTGCAATCAACTTAATTCTGAAATAGTGAAACCTTTGCCTGCTGTAATTAGGTTTAAGTTTTAACTTGCGAAACACTGCTTCAACTCGAAGACATTTCGTAACGCGCCCTCGGAGCTGCTATTATTTACTCCACCATTTTTCCCCAAGAAACCACTCACTTCGTATATTCCCGAGGGACAGCCTTTCAATTAAGCGAAGTACCTTACTCACAGATTTTGCAAATAATAAGATAATGGAAAAAGTAGCCGGTGTAGACGGAAAGTGGCCCGCAACGAGCATTAAATTGCATTTTCACTGTTATCGCGGCAAAGCTCACACCGTAATTCAACTAGCGAAGAATCGCGAGTTTTGAGTCTCATTTCTCGCCGTCGTCTACCAAAGAGAGTATATATTGTTCAAAGTTTCAGCATCCAAGTGTGTTACTACTGAATGAACAAAACGAATTCCGTTAGATTTCCTTCTTATTTGTCGAACATAATTTGTTAAGTGCGTTCGATAACTTTTACACGATAGAAACCGCAAATTAAGTCGAAATAATTAAACGATAAGTTTCCACGTCTTGTTTGCTATAATATTGACATATTCGCGACCGGCAGATACGTTTATACGTTTATACGTTTTTACGTTTCTAATAGCGAGTACTGATGAAAATAGTAATATTCTGAATAATAGAATTCTGAATCAAATGGCAAATTCGTATCGTTAGGGCGATGATAAAAATTACGAAATATCTTTTGAAACATCAATGTCGTAAACACGTAGTGTATAAAATAAAAAGATTTTCATAATTTGGACATAATGCGTTAACAGAAATGCATATTTCAGGTAATAAATAAATTTATCATTTCTATGCAATGGAAAACATTTACCGCGAGAGCTGCGATGCTATTGTCAGAATCATTGTATTTCTTCTTTTATCGGGATTTCTTTCCTTTTCTTTTGGCTCGAGAATGGAATTATCCACTCCAATTCTTTTTCATTCTAAGAAACTTGTTCTGTTCAGAATTCTTAATGCTTCGTGTAACTATAATACACCGAGCTTGAAGGCGACCCAAAACAGGGATTAACGATAATCTTCCTTCCTAACGTAGTTGGTAGGTACACTCAGATATTTCCTCTGAAGGGTGTCTCATAACTCACGGTACAACCCAAACGGGGTGATCCTCTCGTCCAAAAATATTAAATTTGTCGATTCGTGTTCCGAAGAAACGAATCCGAGCGAAAACTTTTTTCAATTAAGAGAAAAAAATGTACATGTTGTTTTACGATTTTGTTAAACGTTTACGTACGTTGTACTTGACGCGAAAATGCAGTCATATTAAATTATTAAATTTCTGTTTTCGAAATTATCCAAAAACAAATTCGCAGTTTTCTGTTTTCAAGAAAATTACCTGTAAAAAAAGAAATATTCACTTCTGCAATCTGTTTCAATTTACGAAATTATTTTCGAACTGCAAAAATAAAAAAGTGTCGTCTTATCATTCTGTATAAGGCGATATATAAAATTGAACTGTTCGAGTGACGCGTTCCTTGGTATTTCCAGCAAAAGTCGTTCCGCGGTCAAACAGTTAACAGGGCACGATTAGTTCTGAACAGTTACGTGTTACTGGTTTATGATCGTTGATTATAAATATAGCTTAAGATCGACGATTAATCTGACTATTGCGACTGATCACTTTAATAATAATAGTACCTTACTAGTAATATTCGAGTTTCGCGCGTTTGTTTCGCAAGAAAATGGCTAAGAGTCGCTTCTTCTTATGTCTATCTTCTTTACTACGCGGCACTCTTTCCCCTGCCCTTATTTAAAGATTCCTCGCTCCGTTGCACTCTCCGCGTACCACAATATCGTGGTATCCGTTTAAAAACAACATGCACGCCGAACGTTTAGCGGAGGGGTAGAAAAGCGTATCGGACTTACGTGTTTTCCTTCTGGTCACCGTTGCTCGACTGCGACGACGGCGACGGTTGCTGGGCCTGCTGCTTCGAATAAGGATGATGATGGTGCACGACGTTGTTGTTGTTGTTGTGCATGTGCACCTTGTTTGCGTTGCTGTCAGTCGGCGAGCCTGGCGAGATCTTACCCGCCAGAGCGTTCAACGATTGAAGCATTTTCATAGGGATCCTCCTGGCAACCGGTTCGCGGTGCCGCCTTACCTCGTCCTCGTTTATTCTTGAGGAAGACAGGATTAATCCTCGTTTCCGGTTTGAAGGCGTCAACCCTCAAACTCTGACGTACGCGTGCGAACTGACGTGTACACCCCGGCGATTTGAACAACCGAATGCACTTTTAATTTCTCTTTTTTCTTTCTTTTCTTTTTCAGAAACGGTTTTATTTTTTACACTATTCCGCGCGTAAATTTACGAATCACCGAATACGGTCCGAACCTTTCGATATTTGACACAGAAAACAAACACCGTTCACGAGGGTACACGCGATACGCACAAATACGGACACTTGTTCGTCTTCAGCTAGCGTTCACTGCGAGAATCGATTCCGGAGGATATTTCGAAATGTCGATGAACGTTCTCAAAGCTGTCGGATCCCAGTTATTGGCGGCGTAGTCTCTTGAATCGCTGAAAAAGAAGAGCAGAGGAACGGTGTGATATTGTTCGAGAATCTGGCGCGGAAAGTTGAACGAACAATTACATCAGGCGACGTAAATGGTCGACTGCATGGAAGTTATTTATACGAATCTGATGTCTTTATGGGTTAGATTAGGTACGAAGAAAATAAAAGTATGTGTACACATGCTGTCCTGCGAGGTTTTCAACAAACTTTGCCGACATGTTTACGAGGTCATCCTGGCTAAGAAATGTCGTGCATGCTATATTCGAAAGTATGTTGTGATGTACATACGAAAAGGTACGAAAATTTCTTTTCTTCTCTCTATTCTGTAACCTTTGGACAGTGAATATAATTATTTTTATATTTGTCCGATAGAAAGCAAGTTATTTTTTTTCGATTTTCATTACCGAGTCATGTGTTTTTACACTTAAATTGTTTCGTTACACCATACTTCTACAATAGTTAATTACATAGTAAAAATGTTAATATTTCGTTTCCTTCTGACGGCAAACTTTTGTTCATTGTTTTAAACATTTTACATTTCGTTATCATCATAAACATTACACGATCGATTATTACTATACATATTATCGTACCAACGAGAGCCGAAATGGGTAAAATTTTTTGTTGAAAACATTTCATGAATATATAAAAACGTGTAATAAAATATATGAAAGTGTGTAAAATATATACTCAGCTAATCGTGAATATTAATGATTTTCCAGATCACGCTGAATAGATTTGTTAAATATCAGAACAGCGTATTATGTTTACAGAATAAATAACGGTATACCCGACGAAATAATTCTACGCACGAAAACAAGTCGGGAACATGCAAAACGTAAACTTAACTTGCAAATCGCACCTTTATAGATCATATTGTGGAACACATTTATACCGTAGATACAACGAATACAAATTTCACCGACAGCGATTGACTAAAAATTTTATTCGTCGCTGTACGCTCGAGAATCACCTACTCCTTTAGGCGCCAGCATCGAGACTGATCGTGTTGTTATTAATGCCCGCTGGTTCTGTCTCTAGGTACCAGATTCTTCGACGTTTTTTTCTGCAAAACATTGTGATTCGTACTCAAGCGAACGTTGAGCGCGTGCTGTGTTCGCGTCGTGCGAAATCGACAGCTCATCGTGCGCGCTCGATCACTTCGTGCGTAAACAATCGGTTACTCGTGCATATTCGGTACTCTATCGGCCATTTTCGCTGCTAGTTGTGCTGATTCGATTCGATATCGTCGCTCGGTGCTTCGATTACAGTGCTGGGTAAAGTGCTATCTCAAATGGTAAATAGTTTAGCTTATTTTTAATCGTGAAAAAACAGGATTCAGAAACGAAGTTAAAATATTTTGTATTTTTTTTTTTTTTTTATTCGGGTTATCAAAATAAAAGTATTTTACTTACTGTTATTGAAGATAACATTTGAAATATTTTCTCTAAATTTTACGAAGGTGAATTCTATTAAAGTAAATTAACCGAGGCCGAATACATCACTTAGATTAAACGTGTCGACTTCTTATTTTCCAAGTTTCGTTAATTTAAATAAACAACAATCTAATAACTTAAGATAACATTTATCCTATTGCAAGATATAAAACGCCAACGAATATGAAACGCGGTTGAATCATTTTTAAATAAACTCACTCTCTGATACGTTCGATAGACGATAATGGATTGTTCTAATTCATTCTTTTCTCTCCACTATTAAGGACTTCATTGAAATTATAAAGTGTTTCAGTTCACGCGAAAATATGGGAGGTTTAAGTCGTAATTTTGCTGTTTTTAGAACCGTTAAAATAATACAAACTCTGGATGTAGGCCGGCCTTCGCGAAAGCGTTCATACATACCTTCACAACTGTCAAACACGCAAACTCCAATTTCTCCGATGTTAATCATAAAGAATCGTTCTTGCCGTATACATTTTTAATTGCTATCTACATTTTTACTCGTATTATTTGAACAATTTACAAAAACAACAGATTGCTGATTCAACGATATCGAGGACAACGTTAACCGATTTCACATCGAATGACCCAAACACATTTTCGCTTTCATTTCGTTTGATAACGCGAACCCCGCCATTCTCGCGCTTATCGTCGCGAATTAATTCCAGAAAGTACTCGCGGACCGTTTTCGAGCCAAGGGACAGAGAGCAGAGAGAAAGACGGGCGAACGAAGACCGAATACTCTAAAATAAGTGAAATCGGAGGAATGTAGACAACTGAAACGCGTACGTGAAACACTCTTGCGCGAAACGGCTTTACAACGAGTCAATTAAAAGTTTAAGTTTAATTAGAAACTCATCCCGTATACGCCAACCGGGCGAGTCGCTGGCTGATCTCTTCGAACGTTACTCTTCCCGTTCGCCCTTTCTTCGGCCATCGTATCCGTACATCGTATCTTTCGTTCTCTTCCTCGAGCTGCTTCCTCGGTTTACGGTTCAGTCTGTCCGACTACTTCCCGTCAGTTTCACCGACTAGCTCCCTTTGTCCCCGCTGCAGCTCGAAGCGATCGAGTCACGGGTATTTACCAGACGTGAATGCGCCAGAAAATAGGTCGACGAAGAGGAACTGTGACGTTTCGTAGCACGAGAATTCAAACGTTTTTTTCGCGGATCGTCCCCGTGGTTCGAGTGTTCATTGCCACTTGCAGCGGCATCGAACGCGAAAGCTCGCGGTTTCTGGTAAAGCTGTTGCTGCTATTTACAACGGCCACGAAGAAATTCGAACGAAACGCTCGGACGTAATGAGCCAAGAAAGAAGTGAAAAAGAAACGAATCCGATTTCGCCTGTGTAAGCAAAGTTTGATGCGCTTGAACGACGCGTTTGCGTTTCTTGGCCATGGAAAAGGATTGCGAAAGAATTCTCATGTTAGAGGTAGAGTTTTTAGGAAGGATTCTTGGTAGAATATTTAATACGGTTTTTTTATTGGTCATGTTTTTCAGTTAGAAACTATAAACATTTTATGCCTGACATTTGGCGCGCGTCCTTTTTCGTATTTTACACAATAAACCTTAAACGGTGAAAATTTTGTTGTAACTTTTTCGAAGTATTATCTTATAATACAAAAAATGTTAACATCGTTATCGAACTATTTAGTACATTACCAACTATGAGATCATTTTAATAAAATTGATCACGACTAGAGATGCACGGATAACCAGAAATTTCAAACAACCAAGTCGTTGAAGCGTTGAAACTTTTTCGCCACGTAGTGTTGGAGTATTAGTGAGTTAGCAGCTTAACATAATACGATAAGCTTAGTGTAGCACAGTATCAGACCAAAGTACTGAAACCTCAATCCCGAGTGAACGCTAAGACCTCAGAACTATACTCCATTATACAAAATGAGTAGAATATACTAAATACAATGTCTTTCTATAAAATGTTCTATCCATCACGCTATTTTATAACTGTGTCTGTATTATCAGTATCAAGGTACTCCTGCGAATCTTGAACGTCCTAGTTTGTGTTATAGATGTGGAAAAATAATTACATTAAATTGCAATTAATGTTAAAGTAATTAAATTCTTTCGCGATAGACTAAAAAGTTGGAGCGATGATATAGAAACTTCTAATTTACACGAAAATCAAAGACTATGGCTGTATTTGTTCGAAAAGTACGAGTTTAGAGAAACTAACACGAGAGATCGATCGAAATGCAATCGCACACGCGTGTTGGCAGCAAAGCGAGATATTATCTCGAGTACGTTTATTTTCTCCTGCAGAAAATACTGCTGCGGCAACAAGAAAACAACGGGAAATGTGTAGCAGCTACACGTCGAAAATAAAATACTATTATATCTCCTATTTCATTTGTAACCTACATCTTCCATTCGAATTTTTAAAGTCAAAAGATACTTGGAACGTGAACCATTTTATCGTTAAGATGTTTTAACGGCAGTATTGATCCGAAAAATACCTCTCCACAGTAAACATAGTATACTCAAAAATCTCGTAAACTCGAGTAATTTCATTCGGTTGAGATATGAGCTGTTATAGCCGAAAATTGAGTTTTACAGTTTCCAAGATTTGACATTGCTGCATTCTGTTTCGACGCCTCGAATTAACGAACGAATAAGGAAGACTGTTTTCTCGGCAGAACTTTAATGTAGAACTATGCATACCGTGTTTCATAATTTACCATACGCGACGCACCGACGTGAAAAATGAGAGGAGATACGCGGAAAAATATGTTCCTTTTTTGTGTTATGTCACGGAAATTGAAGCAATTTAAAACAAGCGTTCTCTTGACCGCAAAAGTACCGAGAGTGTAGCCTAACCTAGAACGTATTTTTTGAGCTATTTTTTTTTTTTTATTATCTTTACACGGAGACTATAAACATTTTACAGCCAGCACTTTGCGGGCATTCATGTTTATTCGTGTTTCAATAACGTTTACAAAAGAGTTTAATGAAAAAGGATAAAAATGACGACAGCGGGATCCTTTAGTGTACGTCGTTGATAAAAACGTCTTCGCCTGATTCTAACCGTCTAGTTTATGTGAAATTAATTTATGCGAAGTATAAACAAGTTTTCGTAATTAACCGTTTGCGGTCGTATTAAATTTAGACATGGGTGTCGTACTGGCCGGAATTGATTTTGGAAGAACGAGCAGTGATACACAATATGCAAGATTATAAAGAATAAACAAAATATATTAATTCTTTTAGACAATAAACATAATAATCAATAATAAATTCATAATAATGTAAATAATACACATAAAAACTCTTCTTTATCCCCATAAATGACACATGTACGTATATTTTGTTAAAATGTAATCTTATATCTTAATTTTAAGAATTAATTTTATTATTAAATGAAATATTTACATTAATAATGTGTTTCAATGTAATGTTTTGTCTAAAAATTCTTGTCGTTTCGGAGCATTGTTTTTTTGAATGTCTCAACCCTCGAATGCCCTAAGTTTCGAACTTGCTACCGAACTTTTAAATCGAATTGTACACTCGCAATTTATTTGTTCATCTTTCGTCGTCTTAGAGACTTTAATTCGATCGAAGAAAGCCGCACGAACTTTGTACTCACCAAACGCAAACTGGGACAGTTACGTAACGAAAGATCGAAAGTAGGATCGCGCGGAAAATCGTATACCTGGATTTCGACGAGCAATCGAAGAAACGCGAACGAGAGGTGTTCGCGAAGGAAAATTTCGGTCGCAGCGCCGGTTCGAGCGGGGATGCGAAAAGTTGAACTCGGGGGCTGGGAGAGCGAAGATAGAGGTACAATTACCGGAACTGCCGCCGCTGTCAAGTGTCAAAGGGGTCACGAATAATTTAGCACGCGAGCTGGAGGCCCCCCCCCCCCAGGAGCAAGAGGGGGAAAGAAAGCGACGGAAGAGGACGGAAGAGAAACAGCGACGCCCGCGGGCTGGGAAAAGCGCGCAGGAAAGAGAGACCTGCTCTCTCGGATTACTCTCTAACGCTTTTGTCCTTGGCGTCGCTTGCTTTCTTCCCGTCGTCGTTCCCTTGCGTCCTCGCGCTGCAGGCTCTAACGCGCCGCGACGCCGACGCCGCGACGTTCCGCCGGCTCCTTCCAGCTGCTCTCTATCCTCCTCGACTTCCCTTTACCGCTGACCACTTCGTGCGTTAAAACGTCGAATTAAAATCTCGAGACACTTTGAGAACGAGACGATTAGAGCGTCCGGGAGAACCGAAACCGGTCCCCGCGACACCAATTGTTCGTTATCCTTGTTATCCTCCCGCGGAACGTTTCCAAACCTGTTTCTCACTCCGATGGTCCTGGCTCAAGCTCCTGACACCGCCACCTCCTCGAGACCCTCTCGCACTTCCGTGGCAGCCTTTAATTCTCGTCCGACCACTCGAACTCGGCCAGCGGGACGCTCGGATCGTGATCCTCGTACGTAGAAAAGACGCGAACTCGCGATATCAGCGTAAGTTAAACCGAACGACGATCTCGTCGACGCCACCTGAGCACTACGACTGACGGCAGGAGCCGAGTCGACGGCCATCGTATCGTCGGATAAGCCTTATCGGTGCCCAAAGACCCCACCCTTCGCCCATGGGCCGCATCCCTCACGATCCTACGAGCGCGTTTTCGCGCCGGAACGACTCACTGCTGCGGCTCTCTACGCCTGTGGACCCGCTTAACCGTATCTACCGGACCATTTACTCGATTTTCTACACTCTCCTCCGGTACTTCTT